AGCTTTTCATCTCGTTTTAATTTCTATATAAGTAAACGCAAATAGTTGACTTCCAAAATTTTTATCGGCATAGCAAAATATTACCATAGATATTTCAAGTGCTTCCGAGTATTATAGGATTCAACGTGATTGTATTACTACACAATAATCATCAACAATGCGTGCGCAGTAGGGTTCACTCATTATTGTAGATCTGATGTGCCGTGAATTGTGCACAGTAATATTCCCCCAGCCGAGTGTGTACGCCAAAGTGTACGGATTCAATACAACGTATAGCGTACAAAATGAACCGATTTGTGTGTGTAACAAAGTGATTTCCCATTATGAATGCATTATGTATCCATTGTATTTGAATTTTAAATGTAATGAAGTGTCCGGGATGTGAAGTGTTTATTTTTCAAAACACGGTGCATATAGATATTATACACATAAAAACGTTTACATTCGTATACGCATATAATTCACATTAATCGGGTGGTTTTCATTTCACGTTTCAATAACGTCTCTATTCATATTTATTTATTTTTTTAATTATGATTTTATTTATAATATAATTTTTTCAATACAAGAAGTGTTTATACAATGTTAATTTACAGTTTATAAATAAGTTTATAAATTTATTTAAAATTAATGTTGGTTAGTTTTATGAAATGTTTGGTCTTTGGTCTTATTCACCAAATTAAAAATATTTAAACGCACATCAATTATAATTACAGTGTAACAAAATGAAAACTCGTTAATTTTGTTTTATGTATAATATTAATTTTTTAATCAAAATATCAGTTATTTAAATTATTTCTTTCTATATTCTGTTTCAAGATTATTAATATTAATATTAATAATTAATAAAGTTTCAACTACTTGATATAAGGATGAGTCAAACAAGTCCAAAAGTGAATCACTTTCGGATACAAAACTTCTAAAGCATTTTCAGCTTTAATCATGTACGGTTCAGTTTAACTACAATAACATTTTTAATATACCTACATTCAATGTTAATAGATTTATTAATAGAAAACTTAGTGATACCTACCATTATCGAAGTATAAATGTATTATACTAGTAAATCACCAATTTTAATGATGAAATTAACAAATTATTTAACATATTAGAATTTTTACCAACATTTACGAAACATATAAAAATATGTAAAATAAAATATATCTTATTTTTTTGCTAATCATGTGAAACAAATTTATTTATTTGAAATAATTAATTTATTATGTTTTAGTCCAAATATGTATTTAAATACAAATCTCAGCATCCAATGCATGACGTATTTTCATCATCTACACGTGTAAAACTATTTATATTTAAAGTATAAAAAAAAATTTAATTTCATATTTAATTTTCGAAAATATTTAAATATCACAGAATTTTTATGTTATTACCTGTAGTATAACGTATAAAAATATATAGCCATGTAAGTTGCTAAGTATCAATACCTCACCTAATCCAACGTGTCACATGTTTTACGGTAAAAATTTGAGCCCAGCAATGCTGTTATCATTGTTCATAAAACAAACTAAAAACATTATTTCTTAGTGTTTGTTTAAATATTAATATATAATGTACGTGTACATAAAAGTTACATGAGATTTATCCTCGCTTGAATTCGCAATAGACGCCTTAAAGTTTGATAAACATTCTAAAACAAAATCATAAATTATATACAAAAAAGTTTCTCTAAAATATTTGATATTATTTTGTATTAATATAAAGGAATAATATAAATAAATATTAAAGGAATAACACAATAAATCTAAATTGTCAATCATCTGGCAACGAGAACGAAGTCAAAATAAATAACCAATACATACTGTACAACTTTATTTTGAAATGTATGTTTATAACAGTTGATCTGTGAAACGTAACAATTATAGAAAGTAGCAGCCAAGAGTTTTCTTGTGAGTATATATTTTAAGAGGATATTATGCAATCTATCATGTATAAACAATTTATTATAAATATATGTTTTATTGAAAATTCATATTTTTATCTATTTTACAATTTTTGAGTACGGAAACTTTTTATGATTGAATTAATTTAATTTTAATTTTTTTTTTTTATTTTAATTTTTATAAATATTTCATATAGGTTAGACACATTATGATACTAGTAACTATAGTGAGGAGCGTTCGAAATAAAATAACACTCAAATAATATGTTTGGAAAACATCGTTAACGTGAAAATATAAAAATATGTAACGGTCGATAAAATTTATATATAGTCCGATTTTTTTTTTTTTACATTATCATTATTTTAAAGCATAATTGTTTTGTATATACATACTTAAATTTCATAAAAGAATATTTGAATATTTTTAGACTTTCTGACCGAGACCATTTTAAGTGTACATAAATATTTTAGTAAAATGTTTTATGTAAAAAAAAAAAAAACTAATTAAATGAAATGTTAAAGTTTCATATACCTCTAATATTATAAATATAATAATATTTAAGATGTAATCTAAAGATATTACTAATTTTATCATGTCAAATTGCCGTGTGTGACGTGTGTTAACAAGTATGTGATTAACACTAAATAATATGTAACACTGTACAATATACTGTACTCGCATTTTTATGTATTATATTATTATAATGGGTATTATTTGTTTTAAACGCGAACCTTGAATTTATCTATTCTAATACATTATCAGCAGATCTTAATGCTTGTTCAACATTATATCTATATATTATTGTTTCAAGGGGTATATAGCTATTATTACCATCTGAAGTTGTTCTTAGAGGTGCTTGGGCTTATTTGTAATATAAACTTGTCTGTCTAACATACCACATTATTATAATGATTGACAAACAAATTACGACAGGATAAAAACTCGTTAATTTCATTATCGGATTTGAACAAAATAAACGTATAGCAATTGCGAACATTTTTCTCATAACAATTTAAAGAAAAGTTAGTTTTTTAAAAGTATACCATCAGATATCTGGAAATATCACTTTTTCTTCTCTGTTTGTATTTTCAATACAGTCTACATAAGTCGCTGTTACCTTTTTTTTTCTTCTAGCCACTATAATAAATCACGATTTGGTAAACATTTCACATTTTTTTTGTGATAAATAATAATTCGGTAAATTTGGCTTGAGCTAGACATTGTAAAAATATTGAAACACGAATACATTATTACACACGACAAGGTGAAAAACGAATTACTTCACTTCATCGATACATAGATTAGATTAATTTATGTAAGATTTTAGGTATTGTTACCGATTTTTGAGCTTCTTTAATTCACGTTAGTTCATCAGATTAGATTACATCGATATACGTCATTTTAATATATTTTGAACGTCTTCTCTTTGCTGTATAATTTATTATTACATGATGCTTTTTTTATTTTAGAACCATATACAAAATAAGTCGTGTGAAAATAAAAGACATGCAAACATTTACAACCGTTTACCGCATACCGATACGGTATTGATATATCATTGCCATAGAAGTTAAGTTAATATCACTAACCCGTACCGGAAAAAACCAAACACAATGAATAACTGTTTGCGGTATCTAGTCCAAAATTTGACTTTTATCCATAATACTTAAATATATATAACGTGTTTCATCAAACCGTAGTAAATTATTATTTATACAATTCTTTTAAAACGTTTATATTAATTCCATTTATAAAAACGGCAGATTTTCATATGAATTTTATTAAATTTAAATATATAAACCTAAATATATAAATAAATATCAAAAAAATAAAACTATCGATAAACTACTTTAAATAATTTTACAATGCCATAAAATAGCTTTTCATTTTAATATTTGAGTTTCTGATTTACTGTTTACAATGTTTAAATTAAATGTAAAAATGTATAATACCAAAGTATCTTACATTATTTATATTTAATAATCTGCTTAGTTTTTATAAAATGTATTGTATATTTATTTCAATCTTGTTTCAAAGTATAAATTTTTTCATATTTCTTTTATTCCTTAGTAAAAAATATCTCTAAAAATTAGATTTCAACTTTAAATATTTTAAGAGGTCGTGAGCTGTATAAAACTACTGAACAACAAAAATTACCCTTATGCATTATATCGCCACGTAAATCAGTTTTAAGACTTAAGTATTTTTATCATAATAAAAAAAATTTCAGTAAACATTACAAACTACAATAGAATTAATAACTTATACTTTTTAGTTTAAAATTAATAATCTATTCATTGTACAATAATAAGTAGTTAAAATCATATGTTAATATTAAATTAATAATTAAACATTATGTTAATGTATATTAAGTATAGAAAAATTGGATAATTTTTCAATAGTTTATAAAAATCACTTTGACTTTAATTTATTTGAAAATTTAATTGAATTTGTAACTGATAAACTAACCTGATGGATTCAGATATATGTACTGGTATATAGTTTAATTAATTTTATTTCAGATATATTTTCCAAACTAGTACAAAAATGGCTGAAATTTATGAAATATTCATAACTCAAATATATTTTAATAACATGTTTAAGGAAATTCTTCTGAATAAAGATGTTCAACTATAAAGACAAAAAATTAGTATTCTGAAATACAATATAACGTATACTGCAATATTACGACCCTTACGATTGTTAATAATTTTTACAAATATAGTTGTAACCAATTAACAATATTAATTTGGATTTAATTCCAGAACCTTAAACATATCATAATATAATAAGATATAATAAGATATATATTAAATTATACTGAATTTTGAATTTAAAATATTATAACTAAATTCATCAAAAAGTAAGATATTGGAATTGATATTTATTTTTGAACGCATCGTACGACATTTAACTGTAACTACAATTAGTATTTCTTCGAATTCTATAAATATTGGAAGAAGAAATATAATATTGACTGAGATCAAACATCATGGATCAAATGTGTTTATGTTTGTTTTGTTTATATGTGTGTGTGCTCAATACATTTTATGTATTGGTCCTAATATTCAACTAAATACAAATAACATTTGATTTCAGAGACACCTCGGGTAATGCCGGTATTATGCTTAGGGTAGATGACTGTGTAGTCTTAAGACGGGTATCCATGGGTGGTGGTGAAGAAAATCCAGAACCACCAACCGATACAGGAAGTCGTCGAACAAGCAATGGTTTGTACAATGGTATAATTTATAGTTTTAGCGTACCCCAACACTATATAGTTTTGTATATTTGAACAATACTTCACATTTAATTTAACTATGGAGTTTGTAATTTCAATAGTATTTAGAACATATAAGGTGAACTTTAAAACTTAAATAAGCATAATGCTCGTAACTTTAACGGAATCAGAACTAGTGCGCTAGTGGCACACGCTCGCTTAACTTTTACCGAATAATTAAATTAAATAGATTCTATTCTGTAGTGAAACGCAGCAGTTTTGTACTTAAAATTACTCGAACAAAAATATGCAAAATACTTATTGTTCCAACAAATAAATATCTTTATCTCATATTTCCCAGGGAAAAAATACGACAAAATTTGACAAATATTATTATTTAAGATAACAACTTATGTCAGAATTACTGACAATCAAAAATCAAATCGATCACGTAATGATAGATAATAAACACCGTTCATGATTCAATAACGTTAGGAGCCACAGAGGAGCAGACGCAGATACCGACCATTACCTAGTAGTAGTGACTCTTACTGAAAAGTTATCAATTCTTTGGAAAGAGAATAAAAATAGGAAGAGTACAAATATGTTAAATGTAGACAGGCTTAGAAACCTTTTGGAAACAGCACAATATAGGAAAAGAATCACTGAAGAACTCTATACTACAAACGAAAAGGAGAAAAACATAATCCCTAATCACGAAACTAAATGGACAAATATCAAAAACATTATTACCTCTGCTGCAAAAAATCTCAAAGAAAATCCCAATCACAATAAGAAAAAGCACTGGTTCAATAATGAGTGTATGGAAGCAGTAAAAAAGCGTAATGAGACTCGCATGCAAATGATACACAACAAATCAAGAAATCAACAAACAAGAAAACCAAGAGAGATATAAACATTTTAAGGAGTTGACAAACGAGACAATTAGAAGACAAAAAACACTATATAAGAGTGATAAGGGACATGCATGAAAAACGAGAAATGGAACTGGTTGGGTTGAATACTCTTCTAGTATATGCAGATGATTTAGTCATTTTAAGATCATCTATAAATGAAATAAAAACTAGCCGGAAAAATTATTTGAAGTAAGTCAAAACATGGGTTTAATAGTTAACGAGGAGAAAACAAAATACATGGTTATGTCAAAACAAGTAACACTGAAGACCAATCTCAAGATATACGGATATTCTTTCGAACAAGTAAAAGAATTTAAATATCTAGGGGTGAACATTAATAAAAAAAATAACATGCATGAGGAAATAAAGATCAGACTGATGATGCCTAACAAAAGCTATTAAGCAATGAAAGAAATGTTCATGTCGAAGTTACTGTCGCAACAAACAAAGGAAAGGTTATACACAACCTATTTGCGACCAATAGCAACGTACGCATGCGAGACGTGAGCCAGCACAAAGGGAAATGAAGAAAAGCTAGCCATCTTCGAAAGAAAAATACTAAGAAGAATCTATGGTCCCGTGTTTAATGTAAACCTAGGATTTTTTGAAAGAAGGAAAAATGAAGATTTACAAAGACTTTATAATAAACCGAAAATCTGTAAATTTCTTAGTAGTAAAAACTGGAATGGGCTAGACACGTATAGCATGCAGAAGGATTTCTTATAAGAAAAGTGTTCAATGGAAATCTGAATGGAAAAAGACCCATAGGGAGACCATGTCAAAGATGGTTCGATACTGTGAAGAAAGATCTGACACGAGTGGACCCTACCTATAACATTAATTTGGCAATAGATGGAATGCAATAAAGAGGTATTGTAAAAGCGGCATTAAACCTTAATGGTCTGTATCAAGCCTAAGAAGAAGTAGAAGAAGAAGTCAGGATTACTGATTGATCCCTCGTTCAAATAAATTACATATTTTAAGTAAAACCAGAAATGTATTGGTTATGTGTGGGATGGTGTGTGGTTTTTGTGTCTGGGTAAATTATCTTGCCCAGAATATCCAATTATAATAAAATAAAAAGTGTTAGATCGAAAGTGGATTCAAATTAGTACTTTTTTAATTTCACGAGTTTTCCAAATGTTTTCTTAATAATTGCTTAAAATGTATAAAAAGAGAAACTGGCAACATTTACAGTCTACCAATAATCCACAAAATCAAATTTTTGTTTGCATTATAACTCAAAAACTTATAACCGTGGAAACTTCAAGTTTTCACTGAATACTAGTGTTAGGATTAGATAACTACACTTTTTTATCTCGATAAAGACGAATAATACAATAACAATTTATCTAGATATAAAAAAAAAGTTGTTTTATACGTTGACGTTTAACTTTTTGAGAGTACACCTTAAATATTGCTTTACTACTTAGTACTTTATAATATATATATATTATTTAAATACAGATTATATTCTTCAATCATTGTTGGTAATAAAAAATATTTTTAGTTGATATTCAATTTACAAACATTATAAAAATTAAGGATAAATGTTAAGAAAAAAATACTTTACACATGTACTATGTCATAGTGAATTGTGATAGTTGTAAATCTTCATTAGTTTTAATATGTATTTAAATTTATATAAGTAGTAGTATTCAAAAAGATACGAGGTCTGACCAATAAGTAATGAGACTGTTTTTTTTGCCACGCTTGTGGTAACACTGCGAATCTGAAACTTCGTTCGGTTAATCTCTCGTCTCTCCTCTATCGATGCATGTTATTGCGATTTTCGTACGATAATTAGTTTTCCAGTTGTGTTTTGTTTTCGACAACGTGTTTGTAAGGCGTGTCACAAATATGGAACAACGTAATATTGAACAGCGGTACTCGATTAAATTTTGCGTTAAACTCGGTGATTCCGTTATGAAAACGTACGGTAAATTGGTGAAAGTGTTCGGTGATGAAGCCCTAAGTCGTGCTCAGGT